CGCGGTCTATGACGACAGTTTTTCGATTCAAACTGTGAAAGGAAAGTCGCTTTGTCGTGTAAAATATCGTCACGGAGAATCCTCCGTCGAAACGTGTTTTCGTGTGCCTGCGATTACGTGGTATTCATGTATTAGAATAGTATGTAGTAGAATAGTAGACGGCGGATTTTTATGCGAAAGAAAAATTACTTGCATTAATCCTAACATGCTTAAGGGAGGATCCAAAAATATCTACAGAATGTTAAACACGTATTTTTGTTCTGTCAATATTCTTTTTATACAAATTTGATATTTTATTTTTGCTGGTATATACTTAAATCTATTCTTCAACAGTATTGTATAAATAAATATACCTCGAACAGAAAAAAATAATATTTATAGCACTTCGTTTTACACGGATAGAAAGTGACGTTAAATGCTTAAGCAGACGTCGAACGTTTAATATAATACCTTAAGCATCACAGGGTTAATTATAGAATACAGGAGTCGTATAAAAATGTATTCCTTCTTTCGATTGTTTCTCAACGTACAACAATAATATAAGAATATGTAAAAATCCTTTCAATGTCTTCTTCTAATGTCTTCGCAGTTTCGCATGTCATCTAACCACGTCTGCTATGAATGCATAAAATCCGCAGACTACTTGTCATCGTATACTTTTATGCGGAACGAAAATTTTTTTCAACATCTTTTTCACAGCGTTTGCAATTGATCGAAGTCTTGTTGACGTAACTCACGGTCCGGATGTTTGCTTGATTTTCTGTATTATGCAACAGGGAAAAAGTCGTTCACGTGCTTCTGACGTTGACTGTTCGACCGTCGTGTTCACATGCCTCGAGTCCATGAAATGCTTGAATTTAGAGAACGTTTCTTTTGCTTGACGAACGTAAAGTGTAGAAGTAATGGCGATAGAAATATTGAGTTGGGAAATAAGTTCGTAGCGTTTTTATATTTTCTTTTATTTTACAACGATTTCTTGCTGTTCGACAAAGTGTATAATATTCATTCGATAGAGCTCTTTCTGCTCTACAAAACTGTGCTAATCGTCTTTTTGAGTAATTTAATTTTTTATTACTTTCGAGGCTTAGAAATGGAATATCCAGGAGGTAAAAAGCAACGTTTTCGACACCTTCTCTTCTTCGCTTTTATCGAGGCCAAAAAACTGCTAGAGCAGCCCGGGACATTTGCAACGGACACGGAGAATAGGCGAGTCTACAGCACGGAAATGGTTTGCGAAGTTCAAAAATGGCGATTTTGACGTCGACGACAGGCCCCGCAGCGGAAGACCTCCTGAATTCGAATTTAACCCAGGCTCTCAATTTTTCGGCAAATCCCATTGAATGAAGATGATTGAGAATCGTTTTATGATCGCAGTTCATTTTTTCGGTCAATTCACGACTTGTTTGGTGACCGTCCTCCTTCAAAAGTGCTTTGAGACGCTCTTCGTCGAATTCGGAAGGTCTTCCGCTGCGGGTCGTGTCGTCGACGTCAAAATCGC